TATTCCTGGCACTGTGGCTAGAGCAGATTAGGATATTCCTGGCACTGTGTCTAGAGTAGATTAGGATATTCCTGGCACTTTGGCTAGAGCAAATTAGGATATTCCTGGCACTGTGTCTAGAGTAGATTAGGATATTCCTGGCACTGTGGCTAGAGCAAATTAGGATTTTCCTGGCACTGTGTCTAGAGTAGATTAAGATATTCCTGGCACTGTGGCTAGAGCAGATTAGGATATTCCTGGCACTGTGTCTAGAGTAGATTAGGATATTCCTGGCACTGTGGCTAGAGCAGATTAGAATATTCCTGGCACTGTGGCTAGAGGAGATTAGGACATTCCTGGTACTGTGTCTAGAGTAGATTAGGATATTCCTGGCACTGTGGCTAGAGGAGATAAGGATATTCCTGGCACTGTGGCTAGATTATATCAGGATATTCCTGGCACTGTGTCTAGTAGTAGAGAAACAAACAAAAAGACTAACCATTAATATATTAATTAATGTATATGTACATTGAAAACAGATATGAAGACGTGTTTACTACAGTATACCCCAGGAATTTAAATCATCGAAAGAATTTATGAAATGTCGTCTTGACAACTATTTTTTGGTTTTTTACGTAAATCTCATTAATTACGAAAATAAAAATAGCCATTAATATGCAGGAACAGTTTTAAAAAGCTCTATGTTTTCATTTAATTAAAAAACTAAATATCTGCAGCATTCCTTTATCAGGAAGTTAAGAATACGACATTTTAAAAATTCTTCCGATGTCTCATTATATTTGAACTTAACTGTAGTAATAAAAGATAAAGACAACAAAATTTCTGCATTGTTGTTTTATTTCCACTGAAGCAAGGAATCCAAGTATCTCGTCTCAGAAACTGCAGAACTTTTCATTTTGGTTATTGTCGAAATGATATTAAGGAAGAGGGACAGGGGAGGGGGGGGGGTTAATAGGAATAAGGGGGATAGAAGAGGGAGGGGAATAATAGGGAGGAGGGGGATGGTTAGAGTGGGGAATTGTAAATGGTTTCTTTATAAGACTATCTCTAGCTCCATCTACTACTGAAAGTAAATAAAGGAACTGGCTTAACACAAATATTTGGTAATGTTACATCGTCTATACGCAACATCCCCCCTACTGAACTTCTGACCTACTAACTTTCCGGCCTACTGCAATATCGGACCTACGCCAGCTGTTTATTTTTGTATAATTTGAGGGTTAGGTTAGGTTAAGACAATTTCTAGGCCGAGCGCTACGGCTAGGACAGGCTGGGGGGTCGGGCGCTGCGGCTTCAAGTCCATTTTGCAGCTGTAAAACCACGTGCTAGTAGGTCGGATGTGTTGTATAGCGGATTTTGCGTAAGTCAGAAATGGAGTATATCGGATTTGCATGGGTCAAAAAATACACCACCAAATATCTAGTTTGTTTACCAACAAGACGACATTAGCTCGAATATTCTAGATATTAACTCCAATTTCAACATTTCACAATAAATGTAGTCTCTCATTCCCTTTTCTTTAGATTTATTTCCTTGTTCTAAAAGAATTCAGAAGATGGCAAATAAAGATGGAAAATATGTATAAAAAGAAATTTAAAGAGGAGAATACAACTCCTGTTGGATAATAAAGAAAAATGGTGCAAAAAGAAAGAAAGAAAGCAAAATAGGACAAAAAGAAGAAAATCTATGAATAGGCATAAGAAATTTAAACAAAAATGTATTAATAGGTTGGGTGGTAATAAAAATTTGTATCTTTTCTTTTTAAATAATTTAGTTTTTTTCCACCGTGTAGTTGCACTTTTCAGTCTAGCATAAATAATAAATATATACATTAATAATATAAAACAGTGATAAAACTAACATTAAACACAACTTTATCATATTATCCTTCATTCCTTCCTCTCTCCCTCCCTCATTTCCTTCTATTTTTCTACTTTTCTACTTTTCTACCTTCTACCTTCCTTTACTTTTCTACCTTTCTACCTACCTTCTACCTTCATTTACTTTTCTACCTTTCTACCTACCTTCTACCTTCATTTACTTTTCTACCTTCCTACCTACCTTCTTCCTTCATTTACTTTTCTACCTTTCTACCTACCTTCTACCTTCATTTACTTTTCTACCTTTCTATCTTCCTATCTTCTTTCGTCTACTTTTCTACCTTTATGCCTTTCTATAGTAGAAAGTTTCTATTCTTCTACCTTTCTACCTTCCTGCCTTTCTTCCTTTCTACCTTCCCTTTTTATTCTTTCAAAACCTTATTATGTATTTCATATCCTTCATTTCTTTAAATCAAATTTCCTTCTTTTTCTTTTCATTTTATATCTTCCTCGACATCTTAATGAGATTAAACATAGAGTTTAGTATGGAAGGGGGGAAGGTGGGGAAGGTGGAGAAGGGGGGAAGTTGGCGATGGGGAGAAGGGGGGGAGACGGGTTGAGAGAGGTGGGAATTTTTGAGAGGAGGTATGCATTACGAACTTGAGACAATTCTTAAGAATTTGGCTTAAGTTTAAACTACCTTAGACGAATTGAACATTGCTTTGTAAATCTTTTTTCTTTGTTCATTTTATAGAATTCTTTCATTATTTCTAAACTGACAAGAAAAAAAACTTTTTTAAGGTTTTTTAAGAAAAGGAGATAGGACATTTCAAGTCGCTTTTGAATTTCTTGAAAATAAAAAATGTTCCGAAATGTGAATTTTCCTGGGTTTTGTGGTTTGAACTAAATCCATCTGAACGGGCAAATACTTTGCGATATCTGCAGATTTTATTTTATTTAAATTCCTCGTTGAATCTATCTTTATTCAATATCCGTTTCCTATCTTCATACAGATATAGGGAACTATATAGTGCCTGGTATATTTTCCAGATTTCTACCCCCCTCCCCCCATCCAACGCGCCTTGGAAAAAATTTTGTTTACGAATATCTAGAAATTGTTGCCATTACGAACATATTTATATAAAAGAAACTTGCATTAAAATCAGATTTTGTAATCCCTATATCTTTGCAATCCGATATCGTAGACCTTTACTTGTTCAAACTATGAATTCTGTAAGATAAAAGTCCAAGTTGTAAATATCAACGGTTTACAGTTTGTGACAAGATCTCATTTCATTTCTAAAAAAGAAAAAGCTTGGACAATAAAGAAACTAGCAAGATAGTTTTCGGGAGGATACAGTTAGGGGCGGGGGAGGATACAGTTAGGAGCGGGGGAGGTTTGAATATTTGTTTAGTCAGCATTTACAATAACGTCGAAACTTTTATCAAGATCAATGCTCGATCCATTAATTTAAGTTATCCCTGCAGGGTATGACCCCCACGGGATATTAAATAGGAATTAGATTAAACCGTAAGCATATTTGATCCGGAGATTCACATTTCAAAAGTTCTGACTCCAGTTATATATTCCTTTATGATGCTCTGCAACCCTCATTATCTAATCAAGTATTCTATTTGTATAAGTCTAGTATTCTAGTACACTAATTTCAAGACAAACACCATTTTCATGTTATTAACTTATACAGACACTCTTTTCTTAGAAATATTTGAATTATTAATGTACAAGAAGGAGGTGCTTAGTGGATACAGACACTCTTCTCTTAGAAATATTTGAATTATTAATGTA